TCTCAAATTCTTCCATGACTGCCTGAACTTGTCCCAAGTAAGTAGACATATCTAATTCCTGTTTCTTCAAGCTTGTCATTCGCGATATTACATCATAGAAACGAGATATGTCATTAGTGTATAGATTACGAGCCTTTTCCCAAACTAAATAACATGTCTGGAATGGACGGAACAAGGGCATCAACTTGGAATCAATAGATCGCCACAGGATACTACATAACTGAGCATCGACCTTCTCCCACTGTGTTTTGGTCTTTTCATTACCTTCGCTAGCCTTATTTGTTAAATGATCTTGAACTCCTTGACCTTTACACCACAACTCGACAGATGAAGCCCAATCTAAGTAGTTTGAACCTCCCATTAAAGGTTCTGAGGTAATCATAACACCGGAACTGCCAGAACCCGGGTTTCTAGACCCGAAAGCATCGACTCCCAAAGACATGGTTGGATTATCACCAAATAACAAAAAGAATCAACTGAAAATTCTCTGAAACAGATGAAGAAAACACTGTGTTTGCCGGAAAAGTACTGTAGCTGCCGGAAAAATCAGTGTAGTCGCCGGAAAAACTCAAAGTGGTCGGAATCAAACGAAAAAGGTATGGACAGACTCGGAATTACTAGGCGATCCGACTGTCCAACTGGAAGATTTTCAAAAAATGGCCGAAACAGTGCTCACGCGCCGGCGCGTGGGGGCGCGTGGGTCAGATTTGCCGGAATATCGCCGGCGCGTGAGGGCGCGTGAGGGGGTGTTTTCCGGTGGGGTTTACTGGGGTTTGGTCGCCGGAGCCTTGGGAACCCTGTGGTGGTGTTGGTTTTTGCACAACACTGATAATTAGTGACTTTGACGCAATTAGTCACTTAGGTCACCGGAAAATTGCACGGTGACTGAGTTGTTTCTTCCCGGATATCGTTGGAATGACGCACAACGATAAATTTCTCACGGTTGCTCTGATACCATGTGAGAAAGCACGGGAGAAAATATATTATTGATGTATATTCATATGTTACAATGAGCCCTATATATATACACACATAACATGTCCTACTCCTAATATATATTGGATTAGGGTTATTTATTTACTCCTATTTACATGACTATTCTAACAAATTCATCTAGTCGTTTCGCATAAAATAGCTTTTATATGGCCTATACATTTAGTCGCTAAGATTTATGTTACACGATTGAGTTTTATAGCGCGATTTGTATCTTCCCTTTACAGCTTCCAAGAGGTAGTTCCTTTAAATGCTGGAAACGTACTGGGAGCAGAAAATAGAAGGCCAATTCCAAAATGGGAGGCGATCATTCGCAGAACATTAAACCGAACAACAATGGAACCTGAAGCTAAGCTCAAGAGCTACAGTGCTCCACCGTCTCCAGTGTTAAGAACTTCACCCGCAGCTGATATAATTGCTGATGTTGTAAATACTACTACTGCACTAGATATAATTGCAGAGGCATCGATGGACACCACTCGCTTTGCTGGCGATAATATGATCAACCTGAGGAAGAACCTGCAAATAAAGAGAATATATGGGATTGATTGTGATAGTCGATTGGATTGGCCTGAACGTTCACTCGATGCAACGCCTCAAGTTCTGTCTTCAAGTTTTAACTTGAGGCGAGTATCGAGCAGCTGTGCTCTTGCTTTTAACAATCAGGATATTCGATTAGATGGTAGCAGGTTAAAAAGAGGGCACCAAAGTTCCGGAAACTTAGGAATGTTATGGATGAATCAACAAGAGGAGCCTGAAGTTCTTGATGCTCTTTCTGATGGCTCTGATCAATTTTCTGAAGAGGAAAATGACTTTTTCGAAGGATTCACAGAGTTCGAAGATGAAAGTTCACTTCTAAAACAGGAGGTGAATTCACGTCCAAGATATATTCGTATTGTTAGTAAGCAAATGGTTGGGATATATGTATCCATTTGGGTCCGTAGAAGGTTGAGAAGGCACATAAACAACTTGCAAGTCTCCTCCGTTGGAGTCGGTTTAATGGGATACATGGGCAACAAGGTATTGCTTTTTCCTTCATGTTTAAGATTTTCATTGAATCAAATATCAGCATTCCTAGTTGTAGAAAGTGAAATAATGAAGTTAAAAAGAACATTTGAAACAGAATTATTCGATACATGTGCTAGTGGAAGTAGCACGTATCGGATGGAATAGTTAAGGTATGTGCAAGTTGGACTGAACACCACTGTTATAGAAAAAAGACATTTGAACTTTAGAGGGCTTTATTTCCCCTTATCTTTGTCTCTACATTCTTTTGTAAAATAACAGTGGTGTCCGAGCCAGTTTGAGCGCATCTTGACTATTCCACCGAGTAACTGCTACTTCCCGCTTTGCCCACCAAAGTTTAGGCAGATGGGAAGAAATCACCTAGCATTGGCTCCATAAGAAAATTGAACCTATTGTCTATACATGAAACCAAAAGCTGAATAATTGATGTGATATGCAGGGATCTGTTTCTGTGAGCATGTCTCTTTTCCAGTCAAGGCTATGCTTTGTTTGTTCACATTTAACTTCTGGTCAAAAGGATGGCGCTGATCAAAGGCGTAATTCTGATGTCAATGAGATTATGAGGCGCACGCATTTCTCATCTGTATTCGACACAGATGCAGATCAACCACAAACAATTCCATCTCATGAGTAAGTACTAGATCGGATACCATATATGAATCTATAGGAACTATTGTTTTGGAGTTGTATGTTCTAATTTCAAAGCATATATATAATTCATACTCTTTCTCTTAATGTAAACAGTCAGATATTCTGGTTTGGAGATTTGAATTATCGAATAAATATGTTGGATGCTGAGGTGCGGAAGCTTGTCGCCAAAAAGCAATGGGATGAACTTCTCAACTACGACGAGGTGAGACTCATCACTAACATTTGGTTCAGCTCTTTGTTTATATAAGATCTTCCCTATTGGCACTTCATCGAATAAGGAACTTTTATACTATCAGGTTAAGTTGACAAACAACTAGAAGTTTCTACATATCAAACATGATACACTAACTTAGAAAATGGAGTATAACCAGCAAAAAAAGGTTAAATTAATTGGACTAATACTGCGTCAATGTATATAACTTAAGCTCTAATATCATATATTCATCTCATTTGCAGCTAACCAAAGAACTCCGAGGTGGCCGTGTTTTTGCCGGTTGGAAGGAAGGAGTGGTTAACTTTGCACCAACATATAAATATGAAATCAACAGTGATAGATACGTTGGGGAGACCCCGAGAGAAGGGGAGAAGAAGAGATCACCGGCTTGGTAAGTGAAATTCTCTTTGAATGGACAAAGCATAATCTTTCAGCAAACTTTGAAAATGTATACTGAAATGAGTGAAAATGGCAGCCCGGTGCACTAAGCTCCTGCTATGCGCGGGGTCCAGGGAAGGGCCGGACCGGACCATAAGGGTCTATTGTACGCAGCCTTAACCTGCATTTTTGCAAAAGGTTGTTTCCACGGCTCGACCCCGTGACCTCCTGGTCACATGGCAGCAACTTTACCAGTTATGCCAAGGCTCCCCTTCGTATATTGATATGAGTATTTTCTTAATATCGTGCAGGTGTGACCGTATACTATGGTTAGGGAAAGGTATAAAACAGCTCTTGTACAAGCGAGCAGAAATGAGACTATCTGATCATCGGCCTGTAAGTTCAATGTTTTCAGTAGAAGTTGAAGTATTTGATCAACGAAAACTCCAGAGAGTCCTCAATGTTAACAGCGCCGCTGTACATCCTGAGATTCTACTTGATAGTGAGGAGTAAGACTTAAATGAAGCGTCGCGTTCATATGTACTTCAAGGCAGAGGCGAATCCAGGATCTAGAGTCGAGGGATTCAGAATAGCTTGTACGACGTACAAGCCTGCAAATCTTTCCAAAATCATGTTATGTTAAAGGTGGATAAGACACGAGATCAACGTCGTTTCTGTAAGATACAACATACATATACTTGAGCAATGAAGATTTGGCACCAGTACAATGTGTTTAATGTTTTGTAATTAAAAAAATTTTGACATAATTTTGAGTGAATTTTCCCTTGTATTTGGTCTGTGACATTCTAACTGTATTTTTATAACCTGGCTTTCCTTACTTCGAATTTAGTTTCTTTTTTCTTCTTTTGTTTCCTAAATTTCCCTGCCAGAAGGAGGGTATTTTTGTATGGTTTTGTAAATTATGAAATATTATTTCTTGATACACATTTCAAAGTTTTGTAAATGCTTACTGAATTGAAGTTTATAGTCTTCCATTCACTAACTCATGAAATGGAGTTCTCATAGTGAAAAGCTTTTATTCTATATTTCAATTCAAAGCTTTATTAAGTTTTCATTTCCAAGAAAAAAAGAAGAATAAAGAGCACAAAATTGTCTTGCTCTGGCAAATTAGAACCTAAGGATATGGTTTACAATCGAAGTTTAACTGGAATTCAATTCTTAACATGTTGTTTTGGAAGTTTTCTTGCACAAGCGATATCTCAAACTTAGGCAAAATTTGTAACTTCGGATGTTAATTGTACAACTTCGATCATGTATGTCGGAAATAGCATTCGAAATAGCTAAACTTACAAAATTTATAAACTTTCGTGAAGAATTTAAACAGGATAAGGTTTGAAGTCGAACCAAATCAAAATATTCAGCTGGTAACGGACAAAGCCGGAATGTCGGCTCAGTTCCCAGGGTTAGAATATTTCCTATTATCACAAATAGACGCATCAAAAATTATATATAGATTACTTCTTAATACAATTTCTGTCAAATTCATTAAATTTGGCTATAGGTGCACTTGCCCCCATATTGCACACACTGTCAAAATGATTGCCAAATTCTCAATAATTAGCATCCCAAATATCAGTTAGTGGGCCCCCAGTCTTCTAGCCCATTAACTGCAAAAGCTCTTGTAACTCGCTCTCCTCGTTTCCTCCCGTTTTTCGGTTACAATATTATGGTATAGCCAGTTTTCATACTGGTCAATGAAAAATAGCCAGAGTTTATCAAGTCAATGAAAAATAGCCACTATTTTTGGGAGTTCTGGTGCATTTGTATACGAACTCCAGCATATTATGCTGTACCGGTATACTTTGCTAACTTCTGTAAAATTTGCGGAGACTGGAGCACCAGTGCTCCAAAATCATATACCGCACTTTGACTACAACTACAACTACAACTAGAAGGCATGCCGATCTTGCCACCAACAAACCTTTGACTTTGACTGTGAAAAGCGGAAAATAGGCACACAGTAGTTTAGAGTAGAAGGAGTGAAAGCCACTTGACTGTAAGGAGAGGAGCTCTAAGTTGGAATTCAATAGTCTAAGAAATGGTCATCTGTGCGTAACAGCTACTGGTGTCATCACCCTGCAAAGAGGTGGAACCAACCAAGACTGAACACTAGCCCCATTTTGTAGACGGGTTGGGACCGGCCTTCTATCCCGGTGAACAATGTTCCACTGATTAGGCGGGGACAGGATTCGAACCTGCAATCTTCAGGTCATGAGCCTGATGAGTTGACCAATTCCTCTACCCCGCTTCTTCCCCTTCTCTTTCGAACTCCGAAAACCAAGGTTCGACTTGCATGTGTTAAGCATATAGTCTGAGTAGCATGATTGGAGCTTCTTAGCGCTTAGGCCACTACCTAAAAGTAAGCTTTTCGCTCTTTTCCTCTT